TTCACCTTGATCTGCATAAGAAAGGAAGCTCCTTTGTGTACCATGTTTATCAAGAAGACTCATAGCAAAATCACTAAATTCCATTAATTTCCCTTCAAACCGTTCAGGAGTACAGATGTGTGAAGTTGATTGATAGTAAGAGCTTGTGTTAGCTCTCTATTTTTCACTTCATTTGCCATTTTTTAAAGATTTTATTTATTTATTTGTCCCAGAGAGGTAGAAGGAGAGAGAGACAGTGCACACAAGCAGAGGGAGAGGCAGGTAGGAGGAGAAGCAGGCGCCCCACTGAGCTGAAGGAGCCACTTAACAAGTTTAATGAGTTACAAAGTGATTATATACTTACACCTTCTTTCCTTTCTTTGCAATATGCCAACAACAAAATAATTTCAAGGCAATAAATTAAGAAAGGAAAAGTGGCTGATCTGAATAACTCACACAAAAGAGAGCAAATACTTAGGGATCACTAGCAGTATTCATTCTACTGCTTAGCCCTTACCCATCCTAACTGATCCATTCCACGAAAACACACCTGTGGTCAAAATTAAATAGAAGCTACTGCACATAAAAATTGCCAGTTCTCCAAGAGGGCCCCACTGCCAGACATTGTATCTGGATAGTGATAAACTATAACTTCCATCGAGTTTGTGAATGCAACACTCCTTCTAGGGATAAGCCTCTGATTTCCAAGTCAAAAGAGAGGCCTCTTGTCCAGATTTCTAGTGATTCAATGACATGTATCTATCTATGGGATTATAGTAAAAACGGGAATTTTCTATAAGACAGACTTACAAACAGTTAACAGCAACATAATCTCTACGCAGCCCTCAGCAGTACCACTCTCTGGTACCACTGAGTATCTGGGAGCATAGAGCAGGGCCTCCCAATGACAAGATCAGAGCACACCTGTCTGTGGTGGAGTTAGGAATACACAGAAAAGTTCTGTGCTCTTTCGTAAAATCGACTCTCGTGCAAGCTCACCCTGAAGGCTATTTTCACTTAAGCCTGTCGATGCTAAAGTTTTTTTGGTTTTGGTGGGGTTTTTTTGGGGGTTTTTTTTTTGGCTTCCTGATGTGAATTTTCTTTTATTCTTTCACCACACAGCAAGAGAAAGCCTTGGAAAGACAGCCTTTAGATAGAGTTACACAATTTTCGCAAATGGAAACACCAATGCCAAAGAACTGGAACTGTTTAGTGCAGGGCTGAAGAGAAAACGCCGTGCTGAACAAAGGACGTAAGCAGCATTCAAAGGTTAGGCTGTAGAGACACCCTGCACACGACTGGGGCCCACTTCACTTGGCACCCAGAGGAACAACACTCCCCTCTCTGCCAAAGCAAGCCGGGTGGTCACAATCTAGCTCCTTTCCCACCAGCCAAATTATTCTTTTAGACTCTTGTCCTTTTTTGATGCGAGTGTATTGTGACCTTCATTTTTTTCCTAATTCGGAATGAATATGAAGTGACTATGGTGGGCAGGGCTATGTAGTCCATAGGGAAAGCTGTTTACTCAGAGAAAGGGAATAACTTGTGATTGTCTTAGCTCTTGCTTAACTTGACCAGGAAAGGAAACGAGAGCCATATATTTAAAATAAATTAGAGAATAAACAAAAATTGGATGGGGCTCATGGATCTTCTGAAATCCCACAAGAAGTGTTTTTCTCTGGTTCCTCCTTCTTCCTTCTCCTTGAGATTTCCCATCCAGGGAATTCAGTGGCATTGCTTCCGAAAGCTTGAACTGAGAGTGAAGAGGAAGGAAAGCGAAAAATAGCCACAGAAAGCAATGATAAGTTTTCTCCTCTTTCTCTTTATGAAGGTGATGAGTCCATGAATTAGAGTTGGTGAAATCCCCAGATCTGCATCAGGAAATCCTGTTTGCTTCTTCTGATTTATGCCTAATGTCCCAACCTTCCATGTACCATTTTAGTTGTGTTTCTGCTACAGGAGCTCTAAGAATATTTGCTATAAGCAGATATTTTTGCTAAATGAGGAATATGGCAAAGAACAGAGAAAGGAGGGGGTGTGTTGTTACTGTGGGTAAGTAAGATCAACGCAGATTCAGTGGACCAAATAGAAGTTTTCATTACTTTTTTTCTAATGACTTACAAGGCAGAATATGTCCAGTTGTGGGGGTCAGAGAACAGTTCACACCCTCGTCCCCAAGGTCCTGTATCTCAACATCCATGTTTCTGACACAAGATCCACTTATTTCAAACTGAAATCGTGTCTCCAGTGATGGAGATGTGTCCACAGAGCACAATAGTAATGAGGTCATTATATGTGTACAGTTGGGAGAAAAGTTACTTCCTAATAGGGGTTATCTAGTTAACTGATTCCATACTCCTACTATAGCATATGTTCTTGAATTACACATTTGTAGTTGAATAAAGACTCTGATATTAACATATTCTAAATAATATCCTGGTTCTAACGAACACTCTCAAGGTACTCAGAAGAAGAGAGTGAATATGACTAGTTTAGGTTGGATCGCTGGGGTTGTCTAGAGGTGTGTGTGTGTGTGTATGCATACCCACATAAACTTACCGACACACACAATTAGGCAAAGGAGACAAATCATAAACAAAAGACTTTGGACCTTGATTTCTGTCAGCAGAGATATCCAGAATTTTACAATAAATCAGCAAGTTCCTTTCCAAAACTTACTTTTACCCACCAGAAACAGAAGCAAAAGGTTCCTTTTTTTTGTTTGTTTTTGTTTTGTATTGGTTTTTAAGGGAGAGCTCTGGTAATGAGACCAGACAAGAATTCTTGGAAGGATCAAAATACACAGAAAACAAAGATAAGACACACCAACAAATGTTATCTTCAAGGAACAGAATGGATGGCAGAGCCTGCCCTTCCTGTTTCAAAAATCAGCATTTTCTTTAGGTCTCTACAGCTGAAAACTTGAATTCTTTTACATTTGGGTTGTCCCTCTGCCTTTTCACATGGGGTTTAAAGTAATGAGCCGTGAGTCAAACTGAACTAAAGCCATTCTGAATCTGGCCACTCTTCCTCTCTAATTTCTCCTGACCTCCCCTTTCTTGGCAGTCTGAAGGCTCTAATATCTTGTATTTTGGCTATGAGAGCAGAACATATGGTTTGCTTGAAGATTCTTGTTAAATACTTGTCCATTAACCTGACAGTAGGAAGTGCTAAAGAACAGAAACAGGAGTCCAGTCAGACATTCACCTCAAGTCCAAAGCAAACACACTTGCCCCCTAAAACACCTGCTTGATCTCCAAGTTAAGAAAAATCAAACAACGAAGGTAACCATTGACATTTTCTATTATGATTTGGGGACATTCTTTCATCAAGCTCTTTCATGATTTATTCTGTTTTTCAGATATGATTGGGTTTTTTTTTTTTTCTTCCTTAGAGAAAACAAATTTAAAAAACAAATAGAAGTTTAAAACAATGAATTAGGGTCTGGATAGGATCTGGGAATAATGTCTTAGTTTTGTTATAAATCAAGCAACATTTCATCTGCCTTTATGCTCTCTATAGGTAATTCAGGAGACATTTTGCCCAACCCCTACAGCTAGCTGGAAGGAATTTCTTATCAACAACCAATGCTTCTATCTAAAATTTGTAAAATATAATTGTGTTATGTCACTGAATAATTTCTACATTGTAACTAATATAATGGAAGAGAGTCTCTGTAAACCAGTGGGAAATCATGATGACTAAAGCCCAAGATGGGGGCAGGGGCACAGTCCAAGAATCCATATCAACCCGTATCCATCCATCAACAACTCAGATTATACTTGGGCTTTTTCATTTCCAACTCATCAAACTCCTTTTACTATCTGCCTTCTTTGGTCTGTTGAGTTTTGAAAGCCTGAATATATTAGACATGATAGCCTTGTAATAGTACAGATAAACCTCCTTTTCCTTTGGACAAATGGATAGATAATTATTTTCTTATTTTATTTTTATTTTTTTAAAGACTTTATTTACTTATTTGAGAAGGAGAGCACAAGTGGGGTGGAGGGGAGAGGCAAAGCGAAAGAGAGAAGCAGACTCTCCACTGAGCAGGGAGCCCGATGCAGGACTCCATCCCAGCGCCCTGGGATCATGACCTGAGCTGAAGGCAGTGGCTTAATGACTGAGCCACCCAGGTTCCCCAGTAGAAAATTATTTTTTTAAAAAGATTACAGACAACTCATCATTACCACCAAAGTAGCTTATTTATAGTACAGATTATGCAGACCAGTCTGCAAACTACATTTCCTTCCTTTCTGGAACTTGTGTTCCATCCATCTCCTGGCTCATATTCCAGCTCTTTGGCTCATGAACCACTTACCACAGCAGGTGCTGTTTCCATTCACGTATTTATTTATTCATCCTTTCATTCAAAAGACATCTGTTGAGTGCACCTGCTAATCAGGAAACTAAGGGCTTTATATTATTATTTTTCATCCTAATATCCCCATGAAGTACATATTCTTATTCCTATTTTACAGATGAGGAACAGACTCAAATTAATTAACTTGCTAGATCAAGTCTGTATGATGCCAAACCATGTGCCTGTCCTCCTCCTTCACAAGGGATAGAAGAAGGCGACAGATGATTAATTGCAGTTTTTTACATTTTGCGCTAATGTGATCCTCCACTGGCTTAAAACATAGAAAGTCACCATCTCTTCCAGGCTTGCCCTGCTCAATGAAGGAAACGAGTACATCTGTTCACTTGTCAAATTTGTTCTTTTGAAAAAAAAAAAAAATGAAGTTATACAAACATTTGCCATTCCATTAACTTATGCAATCTAGAGACTAATGAACACAAAATGAATTTTTGCTTTTTGGGCTATTTGTCTTGCCATTAGCTAAAACATTATTACAAATTTCATCTGTAACGTAAACAAACCTGAGCTATTTTAATGTTCGGAAAAAGTGAAGTTAGTGTGGCTCTCGGTGCAAGACTAATTTTTACAACAGTCTCCCTCTTTGCATCAGGCCCCTTTTTTGTTTGGATTCCATTTGGAAATCACGAAATGGACGTACCGTTCTGACCTCTAGCCATCTGTTGGCTGCTGAGAGAAATAAGTAGGCAATGTTGTTCGTGTCCGTCAGTTCCAGCATACGTTGCTTAAATCTGGTTTCATGCCTGTAGAAAATGAAAATATTATCATGCTAGCCACCAACAGGAGAAATAATAAGAAACAGTCACACTTACTACTACACTGTTTACTCAACATCGTGACAAACGGATGAGATGGAATGACTAGTAAATGGACTCCTACTTCAAAATAAAGGCCAGCTGCTACTGCTTTGCTGCATGCTTACTGGAGAGGGTGTGGTCCTGACCTTCTTCCTTTCTTAGACCCCTGCTATGAAAAGGAAGCTTTCTGATGACAAATTCCTATTAAGGATCACTTCATAAATTTCCTCATAATTTTGCGGCCACAAAAACAAAGCACGGCCTATGTTGAAGGGCCTTACAAAAACCAGAGTAAGTTGTACAGAAGTGCAATATGCTCTACCTACTTTTTATTGCCTTTTTTTTTTTTTTACTTTTCCAAATAACACAGTTAAAGGTGGGTAGGAGGAGCTGGACGAGGACCAGAGAAGACAGGAAACTATGCATGTGTAACAGGCAAATAGATACTTTTAAATTTCTCCTTCTGCTGGGGTTTCTGGGAACCAAAGAAGGAAACTGAGTAGAAAGAAGTAGAGGATAGAGGTCCTTGGAGGCAGCAGATTTTCTTGTTAGATGAGATAGCTCATGCTCAAGGTTCTAAAATATTTCTAAGGATGGTCACTGCATGAAAGGAACTCTCAGCCTATGGTACTTATAGGATTTTATGACAAATACAGTTTAGACATTGATCCCTGGCCAAATTCAGTTCATTCTTGGAAATCAACATCATCAGACCAAATACTGGGTAATCCGTGTTATAAATGAAACTTCTAATAAGAATCTTATCCATCTGAACTTGTGAGCTACTTTTTCACAGAACTCATTCTACATGGTGATAAATCTTTCCAAATAACAAAAATAGTCTCTTTTCATTTTACATTTATTTTCCGTGAATAACAAAAACAATGGAAAGCTGGATAATATAATCAAAATAACTGATTTGAAGGTTGGAGGAAATGCCAAATCAGAATGTGGTCTATTCACTCTTCATGGCCTTGACTGTTCATATATGGACCACTTGTCTGTGCATTACGTTCCTAAGGCATAGCCAAGTTTCATTTGACAGCTCAGAAATGATTCCTGTTTGATAAAAGACTGCCCCAAGTTTCCCCAAATCTTCAAATAAATTTGCAAAACTTTATATTAAACCATCACTATGTCACAAGTCCTGTGTGGGGCGTTCACTTGGCCCACAAAGTCGTCCATACAGGCCAATATAAAGCAGATACTTGATATCTGTCCAATCCATCTGATCATTCCAATATGCCAAACCAGATAAATCAGATAACTGAGTCAGACAACATCTGATCTACAATAATCAAAGGATTTGGCAATCAGAGCCAAATAATTACCTCACTTTGAGTTATGAGTTTGCAGCCTTGACGTAAATGCCATGTACAGAAGGACCTACACGAAAGAGCAACTTATTGGAGTGGGCCTGAGAAGTCCCAGGAACATGCCTGTCTTGTTCTGGGATGGCCCTTAGAACTGAAGAGAGTGAATAAGGAAAAGGCAGGATGGCCCACAGGACTAGAGGATTTACTGCAATAGTGGATATGAACGGTAATGAGATATATCCACCTAAGGAACAACATTTCTGTATTTGCAATGTTAGGGAGATTTTTAGCCATTCATTTAGAAACTTTGCCAAACACCAACTCGATGCAAGACATCAGGGAAAAAAAAATATGTGTGTGTATATATATATATATATATACATATATATATATATATAAATATATATGAATAAGATTTAACCTCTGCCCTTGAGGAACACTGTCTTTAGGGAAGGAGGTAAACACGGTATTAATAAGCAAGGACCATGCACCTCAGAAGCTGGTTATAACAGCCCTGTGCACGAAATGCTACTTAAATATAAAGTAGGGGGATATATAAAAGAATATAAAGAGGGGGCGATTCACACAGGGAAGGAGCTGGAAGATGGGGAGAGAAGGAGGATTAAGCAAAGTTTCATGGAGGACCTGGAGGATGATCCAAGTGAGGTTTTTAAGGATGAGCTGAATTCTTCAGGTTAACAAGGGAGGACAAAGCTCTGGAAACAGTAGGAACAACATGAGCAAAGGCACAGAAATGAGAAAACTCATCATGTTCAGGGGCTCAAGAGAGGGTTCCCTCTCTACAGGATGGTGGTAATGGAGAGATTGGGGATGGGGCCCACTGGACGAAAGCCACTGGGCCACCTTTTAGATGAACATCAAAGACTTTATTCTGACAAAGTGCTTTGTCTGGGATGCTTCTTACTCTTCATTTAGTTGTGGGATATTGTTTCAGATGCACTCTTAAAGAGTTTGTAAATGGAATTGGCAACGGTCTGAAGCAGCGGCGAGAGGGGAGGGGTGGAAATGCAGTGAACATTCTTTCTGTGTGTTTCTATTTGGCAAGAAACCTTCTGTTTTCCTAATGGAAACTTTGACACACTCAGTCTGTATCTTTTCATCCACATCCAGCTCATCTTCTGAACATTCCTAGACCTTTATTCTGTTGGACCAAAAAAAAAAAAAAAAAAATAGGAAAGGTCACTGAAATCTCAGTCTAATTTAACTGTGAAACTTTCGTGGTAAACTACTTGAGGGAGTTCACTGCCGCGTGTGAGTACACCACGAACCCTGAATGCAGGGGAGGAAAGGCAGCCTAATCAGTAAATGCTAACTTTCCAAAAGAGCTGAAGACTCTGGGGACTCTGGGTAGCCTGAAAGAAAAGAAGAAATGGATGGAAAAGAAGATGTTTGATTCCTGACCAAAAGCACCAAATGTAAAGACTCTAGAATTTTATTCATGGCAGCAGGACTGTCCCCACATTTTAAAACTTCTTTTGGTTTAAAAATGCTGATATTTGTGGTACTTAATATTTACTTTAGAAATGAATGTTAAAAGATATAAATCTGGATGACTATGACGCAGATACTTCTCCATAAAAAGTTCGGTTGTCTTTTGTTTCTTCCAATCATAATTCAAGCCTTGAAGGTTTAACACATAGTATTTTGTTCTTCTAACTACCTAGACTTTTCCTCATGTAAAATTAGGAATAGTCATGCTAAATTCTGTCCATGTGTCTAACAAAGAAGATAAATGAAAAGCCTAAACCTTGACTCTTGGTCAAGTTCCTCTGTCATTCTAAACTGTTTTTTCCTTCAAGACGATTTACCTGAGTCTAGTCGTCATCACTCTTAGAAAATAACTTCACCTTGTCCGGAGAGAAAACAGAGCAAGGACTGTTATATGTTGAACCCATCTACGTCCTGCAGTGTCATCGACGAGCTTGCCTGAATCCCGGCACTTCTTGCCCCCCACCTGCCATGTTACCCTAACTGTTTTCTTTGTGGTATTTATCTGGGATGGAAGTGGAAGGCCATGTATTTGTAGACTTTAAATATCCATATCAAGAGTAGTACCAGCATATGTTCAATAGTCAAATAGATTAACTTGAAAGGATTTATTTGGTGAAAAATGAAATCTTTAATATGATGGATGCAATGAGTACCACTGGTCATTACTGGCTTCTACCAGGACACAAATTTGGTCTTAATATTATAATTTGATGTCAATAGTAGTTTTGTCATCTCCAATAAGAGCCACTCTGATGGGAAAACACACCACTGCAGAAAGTGTGAATCTTCATGATGAAGTTTATATAGATTGATGCAGAAATTCTGTGATACATATTGTTGATGTTTATATCTCTCTATTCTACTTTTTGACTCAGGTTTTTATATCTAATAATATAAATATTTCTTAGGGTAGAAAAAGCTCTAATTGAAATCACTACATGTTTGCATTTAGGTTTCCAAGAAGACATTATACTTTAAGATGTCAATTTTCCAGATTAAATGAAATACTCAGTGCTGCCACCTTCTCTTCTGAGTTTACTTGAACAGGGAAAATAGGACCAGATCATTTTCTGAGTGTTAAGTAAACACTTTTTTTTTTTTTTAAGTAAACGCTTTTGATCAAAAGCTTGGGTTCTTATTATTTACCAGTAATAATTGAAGAAAACTGATTAAATCCTAAAATAACTTGATACAGTAGTATTTATTTTATTTTTAGTAGCATTTCTTTTATTATTAATATTCTTATTTTAACTTGTTGATTGGATGCTTCTTTTCTAATCACCATGATTAGTGCTTTCCATGTATTTGTCAATCAGCCCAATGACCCTAAGAAGCAAAGTTGATTTCTCCATTTCACAGGTAAGAAAACTGAGGCTAGGGAATTGACAAACAGGTCTACATTAAACAGCTAGTATCTTTCCAATATGGTATTTCACTCTTTCTTTATATTTTGCCAAAATTTCAGAGAATTAGACTAACTCTGAACATTTATTGCCGTATTTTACCTCTTCTAGTTTAGAACACTGCCATGCCCACACAGTAGGCATCCAAAAAATGGTAGCAATTATCAGTTATTTGAAGATAGATTTGTTGATGATATGATCGCCTAATCAGCAAAATGAAAATATGTTTGCTCACCTAAATGCCCGAATGGTGGTGAGTCCTTCAGCTGTTTCTGAGAAGTGGCAAAGCAGAGGGAGCTGGGTAGAATCATCAAGTTCCTGGAGATCTCTAGAACAGAGAGAAGTGCAAAATTAACTTCAGATGCATTCAGGTTCAGAGGCTACTGTGTTCATCCTAAATTTGGGTTTTTCCTTGTTATTGCAACTAATTCCTCCTAGAACCCAGTTAACAAAAACCTCAACAGCTTGTAATCTAAAGAGGAAGAGAGAGATGAGTACAGAATGAATTTTGGTCCAGGCCACATATGTACTGCATTGTAAAAACTACTTGCTTTGTACAACGACTATAGCAAACTGCTATGGGGACACAGAGGAAAGGATGATTACCTCCTACTCAGAGGTGGGTAATATTTTTGGGGGGCATGTGGAATTTAGGCCAAATCTTAAGCTTTGAGGAGGTCTTCAATAAAACAAGAAGTGCATTCCAGCTATGGGAATAAGGGCAAACACAGCAGACTAAAGAACACGGCAGGTTCAGTCTGGGTAGTGCCCAGAATCCTTTGCGAGTGCTGCAGCGGGGAAAGGCTGTGTAAAGGAGAGGTGGGACTAGGTGGTGGAGGGTCCTGGGTGACTTGGACAAAATTCCTGAAGACTAGAAATGAAACGATCAGGCTGTGCTTAAGCAACATGACTTGGGCGGCTATAAAGGATTAAAGAGAGTAAGTGAGTTAGGATACACTACATCAGAGATTTTTTTTTTTAAAAGTTCTGAATTACTGGGATTCTAATGAGATTTAAAACAGGGGAAGGATTGTGAGACAGTCTCCCAGAAGTAGGTTTCTAAACTGCGACCATCAATGAATTGTAGCAGGGTGAGTAAGAGAGAAGAGTCAAATATGGCTTGGCTGTTTCTAGCTTAGTAGATGACAAATGACTGTATTATGTACCAGGGTCGGGGACACAGAATAAAGGGATTTGAAGAAAAAGACAATTTGCCCTTGGCCACAGTGAATTTGCTTCCTTGCCTCCACACTTCATGGAACTTTTTTCATTGGTCCTCTGAGGAACTACATTCATATAATATGTATATTATATATATATGTATATGTATATGTATATGTATATGTATATATGTGTGTGCATATATATATGTATAATATTCAATGAACATTTAGTGGACAAACATCTGAATCATCCTTTTCATAAAGATGCACACTAGTGATGAAAACATTTCCTTAAGCCACATAAGCTAACATTTCTAAAAGATAGGCTAAGTGTTATACCATATGTTTCAAAACAATCTTTTTTTTCTTTTTGTTTTTTTTTTTCCTGCCATTTTTTAGGTTTTGGGGTTGAGGATTTAGAGCTGTAGCATCAACATTCACCTTCCAGAGTCAATGAATTAAACTGTTCATAATCTTCAACAATTAACTTGAGCCATTCTGGGCTGCCTGTGTAGTGCCACAAACAAATGCAAAACTCTTTTTGAGTTTCTACAGTGGATTTGTCCTCTTTAGAAACTGCAGAGGAGGAGACAGAAAGAAAGAGGGAAGGGGAAGAAAGAGGAGAGGAGGAAATCGAATATGAAGGAATATGAGTAGTTTGCTACTTTAACCATAAAACTAAGTGGCTATTTGTCAATTTGACACAAGTAACAGGTGGTCACTGATTTGAGGTTTGCAGTGAAGGGAAAAAATTAGGATGGAGAAACCCTTGTTTATAAGACTGTATTTTGTGAAACCAAGAAGGTGAGGGCACAGCTTGACCTTGTATTCTTGTAAGTAGGAATCACACTTCCTTATAGAGCTAACCACACATTAGGTCTTTAATTTCAGAGATTCCAAATTCCATGACATTTCCTGTCTCCCACTTTAATTCCTTTTGGTATTTACAAAACAGCCTGTTAAGTTGCCTGAGTTTCTCAATATGAGTGAGTCCTGCAGAGGCTCAACATCTAGAAAGTTTTTTTTGTTTTGTTTTTAAGATTATTTATGTATTTATTTGACAGAGAGCGAGAGAGCGAGAGAGAGAGCGAGCGAGCATATGTAGTCTGAGCAGCAGGCAGAAGGAGAAGCCAAAGCAGACTCCCCACAGAGCAGGGAGCCTAATGTGGGGCTTGATCCCAGGACCCCGGGATCATGACCTGAGCCGAAGGCAAACACTTAACTGACTGAGCCACCCAGGTGTTCCTAGAAAGGTTTTTTGTCTGTGAAACTAAATGTCATGTGCTTATACTTGTTCACTTCCATAGAATTTCAAATAAGAATGTTTGATAATCCACTATCAGTGTTAATTCTTTAAAAGTAACCATCTCATCCATGCGGTGCCTGGGTGGCACAGTCGGGTAAGCATCTGACACTTGGGTTCAGCTCAAGTCCTGATCTCAGGGTCCCAAGATCGAGCCTCACATGGGGCTCTGCACTCAGCATGGAGTCTGCTCGAGATTCTCTTTCCCTCTGCCCCTTCCATTCGTTCTCTCTCTCTCTAAAATAAATAAATCTCTTTTTTAAAAAAGATCATCTTCATATTTTAGGCAATATCAATGCTAGTAATGTTCTTTCTTATAATGAACAGAATCCACAATTTTTATTATTTATTTATTTAATGATTTGTAATTCCAGTTTATAACGGGCTAGGAAAGTTTGCCTAGTCTTTGTCCTCAATTTGTATTGCAAAGGGGCAAAAATAAGCCCAAATGAATATGTGATTGAAATAAGACATGACTGTAATATTTAGTGATAAGAAGACAAGAATAGATTTGGAAACAACAGAAATAAAGTAACTGAACTTGCCTCTCCAGCAAGCAGCGTCAGTAATGGTACCAGAATAAATGAAAGAGTGAACTCATGATTAACTCTTCCCTTTTGGTCTGAATTTGCTACAAGAAAAGCAGATGAGGCTGGGAATGAAAAAACATTCTAGATTTTTTTTTCTAAGATTTTATTTATTTATTTGACAGATAGAGATCACAAGTAGGCAGAGAGGCAGGCAGAGAGAGAGAGAGAGAGAGGAGGAAGCAGGCTCCCTGCTGAGCAGAGAGCTGGATGTGGAGCTCCATCCCAGGATCCTGAGATCATGACCTGAGCTGAAGGCAGAGGCTTTAATCCACTGAGCCACCCAGGCGCCCCAACATTCTAGATTTAATACAAATCTCTAACATTGGAGGACCCCCAAATCATAGCTGAGGAAAAACAACCACATTTTTTAAATTAAAAACTGTTATAAGATATATTGAGAGGTTCCCAACTACAATCTTGGCTTTTCTTGTTACCTTCCCCCATTTCTCATCTTCTTTGCAGTCATGTCCTATTAAATATCCTCAGTTTACCGAATAAACTCAGTATCTACCTTCTTATTCTAGCACTTAATGCACATACAAGGATTACCTTATCTACAGGGACTAAGTTTCTTGAGAATAGGTTCTTGTCAGGTGGATGCCTTCACCTGCCACATGGCTTACACAATTATTTTCAACACAGTAGTGCCTACTGAGTGTTTGTTGCAATAAAGTGATTATTGCAATGGCATAAAATTTACTGTATTATTTATAACAACCCTTCAAAGCTGAACTGGAATTTTTTAAAAATTTTATTTTATTTTTTCAGTGTTCCAAGATTCATTGTTTATGCACCACACCCAGTACTCCATGAAGTACATGCCCTCCTTAATATCTACCACCAGGCTCACCCATGCCCCCAACCCACCTCCCGACTCTAAAACCCTCAGTTTGTTTCTCAGAGTCCATAGTCTCTCATGCTTCATCTCCCACTCCAATTTAATTTTAAAACAACTGGTACCACATATCATTTAACTATAGTACATCTCAGCAAATGATAAATCTTATATTAATAGGAGAATGTAAGATTCATGGCTACTTTTATTTATATTTGGCTGGGTACTCAAGTATGTGTTAAATGATCCAATCTGGAAAGTTCCAATCTCTTGGAGTTACAGCTCTTCTATCAGACATTCAAGATTATCTACTTTTCTAGTCATCACTCTGACTTATCTCTTTAACCTTTTTAAATTCTTCTGATTTTTACAGAATGCATTTTAGCATTTTACAATATTTTATCTTTTCTTCCCACTGTGGAATAGAACAATATGAAGTCACTTACCCTTTGGAACTGTGTCTGGTTTTACAAGTTTTCTGTCAATGTCATGTTCAGAAAATGGATCACAGAATGAAAGATTTGGCATAGTTTGTGGACTCAAAACTCAACACATCAATCCACATGTTAATAAATATCCAGGATTTAACAACCAATTATAGAAACAATTATAATAAATCTCCAAACAAAATATAATATAGGTTTTATCATGTTAAAAATAGATTGCTTTTCCAAATTCCATACCTAATCTGTGCTGCCGAAGCGAGCACTCCATACCTAATCTTGAAAAACACTATAGCAAATGTGGATCACAGCAAATCAAATACATAGGCTTTTGAAAATGAATAGAACTTTGTTTTACTTACTTAGAAGCGACTCGAAAATATTTCTGGATAAAATAAAAGGCAACCCCAAGAGGCACGAGAGCGACCAGGAACACGGGGGTAGCGTAAGAAATCATGCCAATGGCAGACAGACAAAGCAGTGTTGAGCGAGTCAGAGATTCCAAAGTTGGAGGGATGTGCTATGAAGAAGGTAATTTGAAAGGAAAATGTTTTAGCTCAAAGAAAATATTGGTTACAGTGCAATAAAATATTCACTTTAAAGTTATATAATTATTTACCAAAGTAGTACATAAACATTTTCATTGTAAGCAAGTCTTCACTCCTTCAATTTCACTCACTTCCCTTAGTTCAGTATTTTTATCCACTTCCCTACCTATCTACTTATCCTCTGTCAGTCAATTTATCTTGGGGATTTTATGGAAATAAATCTCATTTGTCTATGTGTTCTTGATTTATTTTACTCAATAAGATAGTCTATAAATCTTCCCATGTTACCATACACAAATCTCCCTCTTTTTTAATGGCTGCATACTATTAAAAACATAGTTAGCTATTCCTCTTCTGTAAGAAATTCACATTAATTTTCTGTATTTTGCTTGCTCATATCCTTTACATGTTTTTGACTGGATTATTTATTTTCCTTGTTGATTTTTAGATGGTCTTTATAGGTTATGGATGTTTTCCTCTTGCTTTACATATGTTCCAGCTTTTCTCCCAGTTAATCTATTATATTTTAAATTCATCTTTGATCTTTTTAGTTCAACAGAAGTTTGAAATTTTATATAGTCATTTCTGTTGGCTTTTCTCCTTATTCAGAATTTTGTGTCTTACTTAATTCCTACCCCAAAATTCTCAAACTATTCTCCCACATTTTATTTTATAGTTTTATATCTTTCTATGGCCATCTTTATTCCATACGTATTTGCTTTTATTTTATGGATAGCTAATTGTCCCAACATCCTTTATTGAAAAAATAATCTTTTTCTTACTGATTCCAGAAACCACACTTATCCTGTGTTAAACTTCTCCATATGCTGGTGTTTCTGAGTTCTCCATTTTGTTCTTTTGAACTACTTGTTTTCTGTGATCACCAGAGTATTTTATTTTTATAATGTTTTCTGGGTATCTGATAGGGGAATTCTCTGTATATACAGGATTTTTCAGATTTCCAGGATTGTTGGATCTCTTTTCTTATTAGTTTTCCTCTCTATTTTTGTTTTTGTTATTATTATGAGTAGTAGTTATTTTTCACTTAATTTTTTAATTGGTGCGGAGAAAGTTACTGAATTTTATATCATACACTTTATGCAGATACTCTTCTGAACTGTCAATCTAGCTGTTTTTTTTTTTTTATTGTACTAATTGTCTTGAACTTTCTAGGTGGCAATCATTTCATCCTCCAAATAAAGACTGTGTTGTCTCTTCTTTTTTGCATATGTATTCCTTATGAAGTGTTTTAGATGCCATGTGACTAACACCAAAGAATACATCAAAATTTTTCAGTATACTTTTTAGTCAGCTGCTTGCATAACATCAAGCATGTTTTCCTAAACTGGGGATAATTTAGATATTCTGACAGTAACTCCAAAAAGTCAGAAAAGACAAGTGCTGGATTTGAGGGATTCTTTTGTCAGTTATCCTAAGGGGTCTGTTCTTGGAGTGATCCAATTTTAGAGTTTAAGGACTTTAATTTCAGGACAAACTTCCGGAGGCAGACAGATCTAAAATAAACTCGGCATCCCTGGAATATTCTCTAAAACATCATACCATCTAAAGCTTTTCTTAGTAAAGAGCCAGTCTAGTTGAAGTAAAGGACATCGAAGACAGCTTGGCATTCTATCCTTGCTTCTGGGAGACACTCTTCATCGATACTAAACTTTAAGAATTTTGTTGTGACTGGAGATACATTGATCAAAATGATTCCTTTTTATAATAAAAAATTAAATGTTAGTTTATTATTTGTTCCCTTTATTTCACACTGATTCTCTAAGTATCCTCTTCTACATGCATACATTATTTCAAGTTAAGGCTTTTCTTTAAGTTTTTATTCTAGAAATTAGTTGTGCATATAATATTGATATGAGTGCATATAGGCTTAAAGTTTTAGAAATACTCTATTGTTAACAGGAATCATGGTTTATCTTAAATATTATTTATCTTATACTGAAAAAGTTGTTTTTGAACTTGGAAGTAACTCAGAGGCACTCACCTGATCAATGATATTTGTATCAGCTGAGAAACGATTGAGAATCAGTCCCAGGGGGGTGGTATCAAAGAATCTAGGCAATAAACAGATTGGAATGTATGATAATACTAAACTGTCTGGAACCTGAGCACTGCTAATGGACAACTTAGAGCCCAGAAAATGGGAAGCTTCCTATTCATTTGCTCAAAGGCCAAATACACTCTCTCTAAAGTTTCACACTTTGCTTAAATTTAAAGATTCATGTTTTATGATTTTGTGTGGGGGAGTAAGAAATAACTACTTTTTTACCTTATTGGTCCAAGAATTATCTTATTGAGGAGGTTGTGGTGAAGGTTTTTGGCAGCTGTGAGACCCATCCATTCCACAGTGAGAGATGTAACAAGGCAGAGGAAAATACCCGCTCCACAAAGTATGCTAAATCCAGCTACATAGTAGGTCTAAAAAGCAAACAACACCAAAAACCCACATATGAAATTATCAGTTTTTTTCCTTACTGGAACACAAAATATCAAAGTCAGACAATATTTTCAACTTCATTATCTTGCATCAGTTTACACAGTTCTTGGAGCCTAAACACAGTACCCCTACCTTGTCCCCACTTGTTTCCTTCACCCTCTTCCAAGGTTTGCCTAAGGGCAGATGAAGCATTACAGTCTATTTTTTTTTTTTAAAGATTTTATTTATTTATTTGAGAGAGAGGCAGTGAGAGAGAGCATGAGCGAGGAGAAGGTCAGAGGGAGAAGCGGACTCCCCATGGAGCTGGGAGCCCGATGCGGAACTCGACCCCGGGACTCCGGGATCATGACCTGAGCCGAAGGCAGTCGTCCAACCAACTGAGCCACCCAGGCGTCCCGAAGCATTACAGTCTATTTTCAGATTTGGAATATTCTTGGCTTTCTACACTGTAGAGCTTATCCTTCCTGTCCCTAATCTCAGAATGACCAACTAATACGTTGGTGTCAGTAGTTAAAATCAATACCATCAAAACAACAACAACGAAAGTTCCATGTATGTGTCTCACACACACACACACACACACACACACACACATGCACACAATCATGTGCTTATACCTCCCCTGAATCCAAATCCAAACATTATCTTTTAATGTTTCTTATGATAAGCTTTAAAAACGCAAAAGTAATCCAAATAGCTTCCGTTTTGACAGGTCATTCCATTTCAGGTTCCTATTTTAGTTAACTTACTGAATCATTACAAAAATCCTACGACACTTGGGCTATTAATATCAAACTAAATAAAAGTTTCACTATTAATCTCAATATTTATTCCCTTAATGATTTAAAAACAGAATTCACTATACCTGATCAGCTTTTCCACTATTGTTTATACTGTACTCCGAAGTCCATGTGGCCAGCCAGTAGTCGATGGCCACAATGACTGAATGTTTCAAAAGCTTAGAGAAAATCATCAGGAAGAGCAAGAAGAATCCTCCAGAAGTAAGGTATCGCAAGCAGGTTTTCCAAGGCATTTTAGTTCTGAGCCTCATTACAGTGGACATATTATCATCCTCATCCTCCTCTTCTTCTTCCTCTGCATGTAAAATATTAGTTTAAGCTCTCCTCAGTCAACAGGTAGATAAAATTGATATTACCTTACAAAAAAGCATATAAAAATCCCCCTCAGATTTATAGAAATACAAGTGTTAGTCTTAGAAATCTTAAGTGCTTTTAGCAGGAAAAACACCCATTGAAAAAATTGGCGAAAAATGAATGGATAAGCAAAACAAGAAGCAACATTTATGTCTGGAAGAGATAATTTGCCAATTTATTACACAACAAATTGACAGGAAGTGTAGACTAGAAGTTTACAAACTTATTGAAAGAACTATATTGCCAATGAAACCACAGTTCTGGCCCTTAAATACGTAATTCTTTGAACTCTAAATTTCTGTATTTGTAAAACTTCACCAGGAGGAGATAGACTCTGAAATTTGTGGATTGCCCAAGAGGGCATAATCTCTGTTCTCTATGGTCCATTTTAGATGTGGTCACGGAGGGGCATGAGCAAGAAGAAATCTTCCAGAGAGCAAAGGCAGAGGACAGAGTGCAATAGTCAGGGAGTTCCTCTCAGATGTTTAAACCATCTGGAAACTCCAGGATGATTATCCTAAGAACATACTCCATTATGAAGACAGAATGTCGGCATTTCCTCACTGGCAAAATTTGATTATTTGTGTGGTCTGGCAACTGTTGTGCATTTCCCATCCTTTCCTTTTCCAAAGACCATTTTCATTGCAGTGATCCTGTTATGTATTCTACTACTGTATACTGAGCAGGTTATGGGTAGGGAAGATAGGTAACTTTGATTTACAGGTTATCAGACCACAGAAATCTAAATGTGGATACTATGGGAAGACTGAGCATCACCAAAGAGCCTAATATTTTGAACTAGATGAAGTAAATGAACAGGTCTCAGATAATCTGTCCTTTGGTAAGGGTAGGTTCAATGTGTGAGCAGGATTAGAAATCTACATGATGAAAGTTCACTTCCAGACTACTTGCTGTCTCCCCAACATCCATTCACTGTTTCCATACTAATCGAAATTTCAACTTGCCTATGGCTGCCCAGCTAATGACAAGATTTCTTCCTTCTCCCAGTACCTAATCTGTCCATGTAATGAACTGGCCAATGGTAAGGAGTTAGGAACAATATGTGCAACTACTTCCCTTCTTCCCTTCTTGGTGGCTGGAACAGACATACTGACCAGGACCAGGAATAGCAACCGAGTGAAAAATACGTAGCATACTCGGCTCTTTAATATGTATTACATCATTTTTTTTGTAGGAAAGTAGTACTACGTTATTTTATGCCCCAGAGAATGGATTAACCAACAAGCTCAGGGTAGAGTATCCAGCCATATACTCACCACTGGAACACTGGAGAGCGTAAGTGGGCATGACTCCACTTTTAGAGTACATTAGAAATAACTGGTTTTAAATTCTAAAAGCTGATGTCTGTTTACAGCACCAGACATTCTTTAAAAATATTTTTAAATCTAAGGAATTGAAGTGCAAAATCCATTCATTCATTCTCTCAATGAGTATTTACTGAAATACTGAATAGTTATCTGGTATAAAAAGGTAGCACATCTTGGTGTTCTTTAGCTTGAAATTACAATTTTCTCTTTCTTAACTGGCTTGTAGAAATGCAGTCTTAAGCAAAAACTGTATAAGAAACATGAAGTATAGTGCATTTACCCTATGGAATTAAATGAGATTTATCTTACAAACTTCTTGGCAACAAATGTCAAGGCAATGTAATTATTTCATCTTATTCCAATATATTCCAGGAAATCTTTTGTTCATTACTATACCTTATTAGATCCAGAAAACTGAAACATAACAAATGGCTTTCGTGGAATTCTCTTATTCTTCACTGCTGTATTATGAAAATTCCATGAGGACTTACTGAATGATTCAAATATAAATATTTCAAAACAGTATTTTCTTCATATTTCCCATTTATTGCTTATTTCTGAAGGACTGACATTTTATTAATAACTTGACTTGGTCATTCTACTAGTCCTTTCCAATTTATAAAAACAAGGGTCTCGGTCTAATCACAAACCGGGCCTTGCCTCTCAGCTCTCTCTTACACAGCGCAAATACACTAAGACATACTTAGAAACCGCTCATGATGCTGGTTGATGGATTATATATACTTTTCTTTTGCTCCTATTCTTTTCATTTTCAGTATTCATATTTGGCTTAGTTCTTTTCTACCTACGAAGTGGCTTTTTAGTCTTCATGGGCACACTGTGTATCAGTTGCCAAGGTAAAGCAGTCACGTCCCACTTGAAGGTTTCAGATAGAAGAGAAAAGTCTACCTTCATCTTCATCCTCCATTTGGGCTTTGGCCTCTCTTGAGTACATGGCTCTTCGAAGAGTTTTTCTCTCTAGAGTCGTTTGGTCAGCTTCCATATCCTACAGTAAACACCACCTTACCATTATTCAAGGAGTTCACAGCCACAGGAAGGTTTTGACTCACCCATCAGTGACCCATACGTACCAACTGTTAGTTATCTTTGCCAGTCTTGGGCTCTCTGCTCTCTATAGAGATCCACAACACCTGTCATAGGAGTAGTTGTGAGGCAACATCTGAGGTTTGTAAGGCTTCAGAGCTCAGAGGTACTGGGCAGTAAGAAGCCAGGGTAGTAGCAACAACACAAGGGCACCAACCCCAGGAGCAGGGACACCACCTTAAGGCATATTTCACCACTGCTACTTGTTTTATCTTTACATCACTTTCAGATATTCCCTATAATTGTCTAACTAAGATTTATTCATGGTAATAAATAATTTCCTTCAAAAATGCATGCAGTTCTAGACTGGGTAAAGCACTATCACTCATCCCGTCTTCTAGTAAATTACTAAATCAGAATGAGATTCCTTAACATCTCACTATGGTAGCTGCACAAAAGCAACGGACTTCAATAGGCAGCGAAAGAATTTAAGTAATTTTGAAGCAAACGAAAAATGCCTAGCACCTTAGGAAAAAGCCCGAGGAGGGGAACATATGCCGAAGGAGAAGGGAAACATTCCCCCAAACAAACTTTGTGAATTTTTCAGAGTTGCTTCAGACTTGTGTGCTTAAGACAGGGAGAAGAATTTAATTTCTCCATTTCTCTTCTTTCAACACCCAAGTCCCCTTGGCTTCAGAACTGGAGTGGTAGTATCAGTTTAATACACTGTGGGTTAAATCAGCTGCTGCAGGACAGTTTGGGAAACTAACCATAGTCTTGTTTCTATGGGGAAATGCATTCTGAGTTCCAAACAACCAACCCACAAAATTTTGGAATCTGGTAAATCGAGGGCTTTCTGCATATACGCGCGCGCACACACACACACACACCCCTCACAGTTTGACTGTTATATCAATAACCAAATAAACCCATAGTGGTCAGTCTCTAAGTAGTGGTCATCGTTGTTGTTTTCATTTTGGCCTTACACAACATGTGCGATTTAGGAGACTTGTTAGAAGGCTCTATTATTTCCAGATTCTTGGTTAAAAAAGAATGAAAGCTGATATGTTTCTTGAATAGCTTTTTTTTTTTTCCAGAGACAATTTCATATCAGCTTTTAATTATGCCTAATGATATGAAAACTAGCTTGTACATGAGCTTAAACACAAAATTAAAGCTGACTCTATCCTTTGCCGACAGAGTAATAAAATGAAATTACCCCGCACATTGGAAAACAACAGATTTGGTCCCCGTTCAATTCTTCCTGCTATGTGAGCAAAAGATGGAACATCTCAGATACTTAAAAGAAATCTTTACTCATTTTTCTTATAAGTAAATGCTCATGTTAAGCTCATTACAGGTTAAATATTTTAAATTATGTTGATATTTGACTTAAGTGAATTTCACTTCATTTATTTAATAAGCATTTCTTGACTGCCTGTTATAGATGGGATTAAAGTCAGGGCTGGGGGAGGAGACATCAAATGATGTTAGTTTATTTGCTTAATAACATTAGGAAGATAATGGTGTCATCCAAGCTAGAATTTTTAGTAATATTTAAATCAGCTCAAAGTGTTATCTCCTCCACCTTCTTATAGTTTTTATTACTATCCTTGTAACATTTCTTTTGTTGACCCCTTAGGCCTTAAGCAGACAGTGGTGTCTAAAGCCCAGGGACAGGATGTTCTGTTTTGCTGGTCTTCTCTGCTTGCTTGATCTGCTTCAGCTCTAGGTCAGCCTTTCTTGACCTTGGCACTGTTGACATTTTGGTCAGAAAACTCTTTGTTGTGGGGGCTGCACTGTAGGACATTTAGCAGCTCCCCTGTCTTCTACCCACAAGACACTAGTAGCACCTGCCCCTCAGCTGTGACTGACAAAAATGTTTCTAAATGTGGCCAAATGTCCCCTAAAAAGCAAGCTGGACCCTGGTTGAGAACCAGCACTCTTGTCAAACACTGACCAGGCCACATAAAAAAGTGAACAAGAAACTGTCCTTCCCCTGCCTGTCCCCCACCCCCCAGTGTGACTCTCCCTGCCTTCAGATGAATTCCTAGTGCCTGCCCTTCCCTAGGTGGCATTAACCTCCTCCACACCCAGGTGAGGATTCTGGACAGGTACACTGTTCTTTCTGGCTTCTACCAGCCACTGTTCAACCTTGCAACTGCATTTGCTCTGTTCACACCCTAACTTGCTCCATATCTCCACCCACTGATTTATAACCCTGTAATGTGTCTTTAATTATAGAGCTATGCTATCTCAAGTGATCATTTCTAAATTCAACTTAATGGACTTTCGTCTAGGCTTGTTTAATAGTCACTATTATTATAAAATCAAGCCAACAAATCTCTCTCTCTTCTTCTTTCCAAAGTAAACCATAAGTGGCCCCACTCCTTAAGTTTACAGTTTACATCATATTCTTTTGTCCCTGGCATCTTGGTCACTGTAAAAAAAAAAACAAAAACAAAAACAAAATGTCATTTGGAGCTATCCCAATCAAGTTTCTCACGGTATAATTCCTAAGTGGGCACTTGCTGATGGTGCCTTGTAATTTTTTTTTAAATGAATATCCTCATCTCAGTAGTTCTGTGATTTGTCCCATTCTACTTAAACTTCTACTTTTACATATGTCTTTTCTTCCGTAGGTAGTTTGCTTTTGAGGTCTTTGGCAAATACACAGAAGACAGAGCAATCCTAGGATCTGTCTGACTTTTTATCTTCCTCTCTCTATTGAAACATAGATCCTTTTATTCTTTTATGAAATAATGCATTTTAATTTCTTGGTGTTCTCAAAAATTTGCTGAGACAAAAATTTCATTTTATAGTGCTGATTCCTGACCAGGAGTACCAAGTTCTGGACATTTCCTAGTCTCAACTCAAAAAACATTAAAAAAATTTGCTAATACAGTTGATAACTTCACCTCTCAATCACAAGCTGTTCTTTCATTGCTCTCAGTCTGGTCTATGACTCAGTTCTCACCCCATGCAGTGTTATATTTATATCATACACAACATTATACTGGAATTACACTGAATACGGACCTGGGTTTAAGTCCACCTAGTACCACTTACAATATGTACTGTACAGCTTATGAGTTACTTAACCTCTTTGGGCTTCAGTTTTCTCACCTATAAAAGTGAGATCATATTTTTCTTTACTTATTTCCCATATTTTCTTTGCCTTTTTCTGGAGGTTGTGAAAATCAATGGAGCGATGTAAAAAAGGCTTTAAACTTAAAAACTGTATCAATGTAAAAGTTTATTGTTATTACCTCCTGATTACTTTCCTTCATTCCCCAGCCCTATCCAGGCATGCTTAACAACTTCACCCACAGCTCACAGCTCACTCTTCTTTCAAAATCACCTGTTTTGTCCATGACCCTCCATTTATAGGTGGTGAGTGAAAATAACCTCACATTACAGATGAAGAAAATAATATATGCAGAAGGAAAATTAAGATAAAATAATGATATACCATGCTTCAGCGAACAGTTTAAGTTTTAAACACACATATAATTATAATATGGCTCAAATTCAAATCAAAATTTTCTAAAAACCTGAGAGCACTTCCTCCAAAAGTTATCATTAGAATTTTATTCTTTCAAAGTAGCCTATTTATTTGTTTTAAGATAAGAGAGAGAGCAAGCATGTGTGAGTGTGTGCATGAGCAAGTAGGGGTAGAGAGAGAAGCAGGCTCCCCACTGAACCTAGAGCCTGATTCAGGGCTCTACCCCAGGACCCCGAGATCACAACCAGACATGAAGTGAGGCATTTAACCGACTGAGCCACCCAGATGCCCCCAAAGTAGCCTATTTATTAATGACATATAAATATTCAATTACTTTGGGTTTCAAATGAGGACCATAATATCATCAAATATTAAATGGTAATATACCTTTAAATGAATTTTAATAATTATATGAATTTAATAATTCATGACTCTTTTAAAGTGGGCTCTGAACTCTTCTGAATTATGAGCAATTACCTTTTCTAATTCTTGATCCTGCCGATTCATAAGTGTTTTCCAGTGTTCATAGAGCTCAACATCTTTGGTCTGAATGTCCTTCAAAGTCCCTTCTCTTAGTACACTTCCATCTTTCATGGCTATGATCTAAGGAAAGCACATATTACCAGAATTGTGACAAAAAGTCTCAACTGGCCAAATGAATTACTTTTGTTTAAGACAGCATTTCTTAATGTCCCTGTTTATGTATATGAGTATAATATTGAAAGTAATGAAATTTCTCTTAAACTCTTACCCAGTCAGCATGTGTTAGATACTGTAATTTGTGAGTCACAAGAACAAGTGTCCTTTTGTCATCTTGAAGAAATTTCAAAATCCCTTCCTGCATTAAGTGATCACTCAAGTGAATGTCCAGGGCAGAGAATGGATCATCCTACAACCAGGAAAATGGAGAGAAAAGGAAACAGTTTCTATATTCTTGATATGACCCAATTTTTCTAGAAAGTAGAAATACAAATGACTAAGAGTACCTTATCCTTAACATCCAATTTATAAAAAAACAGACTCTGTCTATATTTAAATTGTTGGGAAGAGGTATTACATTAAAAGTAAAGCTTTTATTTTCTCTTTCACTTTAAAAATTATTTAAAAAGCAAATAATAATATCCCAAGTGGTTTGTATTATTATATATAAAACCTCCAAGCTCAAAAAATAACACATCCTGACAACTTTTAACAATAGACCAAAGAAAGAATAAAACAATAATTCCAGAAGTTGAAATTTAGTTAATAAAAACAGGCGTAGACTCCAGACCAAGATGGCGGTATAGGAGAATGTTTAATTTCCCTCCTGTCATGGGTGCTCTGGCTATGCAGCTATACACAGAGCAATTCCCTTTGAAGGAAATCCAGAAACTAGTTGAGTGACTTCAACACATTGGGAAACTAAAAAAAATACCCCATCTAAAAGATACTAAAGGCTGAGACACACTCTCACCACAAACCTCACCCTCTGCACAGCACCATACAATTGGAAGGAATCCCCAACTCCCAGCTTCTCTCTGAGAAGTGAAGGATTTGGGCCGTACATATAGAGTAGAGCCCCAATTTCTGGCTGCTCCCCAAGGGACAGGCCCCCTAAATCACTTAGCTTTGAAAGTCAGTGGAGGTTGCATTGATAAGTCCCATAGAAATACAGGAAATGAAAAGCAGTTGCTAATAGGCACATGAGCACTTACCACATTGTCTTTCCAGGACTCGGCATAGAGGAAGCAGGCAAAGAAGCGCCTTACCCAGTGTTTCCCTGGAAGGAGTCTGACCGCATACTTTACAAGCCTCTACTGGAGGATCCCACTTCTAATTAGCATGAAGGATCCTGACTATGATCCTTCCTGTAGCCTGAAAGAGCTATTGGACACGTCCCTTGTCTTTTCTTTCCATCCTATTCTAACAATAAAACCAAGTTGCCACTTTCTCCCTGGGAGGAGATTCTCACCTCTAGTGTCCCAATTGTTATGGAGGATGCTAAATGTGCTGGCTTCCATCACCTAGCTCTGATAGCCAACAGGGCTTGCATTCATGAGTCCCACAGGACTATGGCAAACAAAGAAGCCATTTTTAAATAGGCCTAGGAGCACCCCACATGGCTATACACTCTGGCTCAGTGCATGTGGTCCAGACAAAAATGTTCATCTCCCAGTTTCTCCCTGTTTGCTTTTCAAACAGGCATCTTGGTCACTGTAAAAAGGGTTTTGACTAAATATTTTCTCAGCCGCTGCCTGAGGGTCCAACTTCTAATCAGCCTCCATTTAGGTGCTGACTGCAGTCCTCCCCTTTGGGACACTGATGGGTCATAGGCCACCATCAACCACTGGGAATCAGTAAGAATGAAGACAGAAGCTCGGGCAGTCACAAAGTTCTGAGAGGCCACCAAGAGCCTGGGTCAGGTTGGATGGTGAGGTTCATCACCTATAGGAGACCAGTCTGTCAAGACTGGGAGAGCTGTCTACTTTACTAATGCACAGAAGGCAACACAGAGAGTCATGGGAAATTAAGAAACAAGAGAATATGTTCCAAACAAAGGAACAAGATAAATCTCCAGGAACCAATCTTAATGAAATGGAGGCAAGTGATTTATCTGAGACAGTGTTCAAAGCTCACATAAAGATGCTCACTGAGGTTGGAAAACAAATGCAAGAATAAAGTGAGAATTTTAACAAAGAGATGTAAAATCATACCGAACAAAAACTGTAGCGTTAAGAATATAATAATCGAACTGACAGTTTCAATAGAGGACTTCAACAGATAACTAGATTAAGAGGAATAAAAATCAGTGAACTGAAAGACAGGATAGTGGAATTAATCCAGACAGAAGAACAAAAGGAAAAAAGCATGAAAAAGACTGAAGATAGCTTAAGGGACTCATAGGACATCATGGAGAGGAGCAATATATTCATTTAAGGGATCCCAGAAGGAGAAGTGAAAGAAAGGGGCAAAATGTTTATTCAAAGAAATAATGGTAGGAAATTTCCCCTACCTGGGGAAAGGAACAGACATTCAGATCCAGAAAACACCAAAAGTACCAAAAAGGATGAACTGAAAAAGAGCCAAACTAAGACACATTAAAATTAAACTGTCAAATTTAGGCAAAAAGAGAACCTTAAAAATAACAGGAGAAAAACTAACTTGCTACATACAAGAGAACCCCCACAAGTGTATAAGATTTTTCAGCAGAACCCTAGCAGGCCAGAAGATAAAAGGGTGATAATTCAAAGTGCTAAACAAAAACAAAAACAAAAAATCTACCAACCAGGAATACCCAGCAAAGTTGTGCTTTAGAACTGAAAGAAAGACAAAGAATTCTCCAGGCAAAGACAAATTGAAGAATTTTATCATCACTAGACTGCCCTTACAAGATATGTTAAAAGAGTTCTTCAAGGTGAAATGAAATGACGCTATTTAGTAAGAGGAAAACAAATGAAAGCATAAGACTCACTAGTAAAGGTAAATACATAATTAAGTTAGAATACCCTAATATTGTAACAGTGAGAGGTAAATCAGTTAAAACTCTAATATTAAGGTCAAAGAGAAAAGTATTAAATATTACTATAACTGCAATACTTTATTAGTAGATAAATATAAATAAATATATATGTATAAATATATCAAATTACATGTTGTACATTTTTTAGTTAACACATAATGTATTATTTGCTCCAGGGGTACAGGTCTATGAATCATCAGGCTTACACACTTCACAGCACTCACCGTAGCACATTCCCTCCTCAACGTCCATCACCCAACCACCCTACACCCCCAGCAACCCTCAGTTTGTTTCATGAGATTAAGATTCTCTTATGATTTCCTGATCCCATCTTGTTTCATTTTTTCCCTCCCTACCTGCCACGACCCCCCGCCCTGCCTCTCAAATTCCTCATATCAGAGAGATCATACATTTTAAGTACATTTTATTTGTCAAATATACTTCAATTAAAAAAAGAGATTTCAGGTGGAGTCTGACTCTAGCCAAGTTAACTACCTTGCTAGAACAAATCAACCATCATAAGAAAATATGAGAATTTAGAGGCTCTACAATATATCACCTACAATATCCAGGATACAGAAAAAATTAACAGATATATAAAGTAATGGGGAATTTGGGCCATAGTCAAGAAACAAAGCAGTCAGTGGAAACTATGATTCAAGATAAATTAATAGCCATTTAAACAGTTATTATAGACATATTCAAGGACTTGAAAATATATTATAAAAGAAGCATAAAAATATTAACTGAATCAAATAAGATAATATAAATAAAGTACTTAGTACAGTACCAGGTAAAAAACACTAAACAAATGACAGCTATTATTATATTATCAGTATTAATAGTAGTAACTACAAGAATATCATAACTACTACTGAGCTGACAAATTCCCAATTGTCTTGGGAAGAAAGGAAGTTTGTTTGTTTGTTTGTTTGTTTTTAAAGATTTTATTTATTTATCTGACAGAGATCACAAGTAGGCAGAGAGACGGGGAAGCAGGCTCCCCACTGAGCAGAGAGCCTGATGTGGGGCTTGATCCCAGGACCCTGGGATCATGACCTAAGCCAAAGACAGAGGCTTTAACCCACTGAGCCACCTAGGCGCCCCAGAAAGGAAGTTTTTATGTACCGGTTAAGACATTTAGAAAATAATTTAGGAAATAATTGACTGGTGATGACATTCCTGTTAATTATTTCAATATACATTTTATTTCTATAATGTTATATACAGCATCAAAATAGATGCTTGATGTTTTGGAATCCTTAAAAGAAGAAATCTAGAAACTACCAGAGAAAACTGGAATGTTTCCAGAAAACAATGAATTAAGAAGCAAAGTGACATGCAGGGAGGATGGTGAACAGATACATAAACACCAACTGAAGCACCACTCATAGCAGGGGATGAGAGAAACTCAGGGACAAGGCAGTAGAAAATGGTAGAGGTTTCTGGTAAAGAACTGGGAAGAGTGATTGGGACAATGAAAAAGGAATACATCGATGTCTTCATCATCATACTTGTTTCTTTGTTATTCCTCCATACATGCAATATGAAACAAATTTTTACTTTGCCTACAGGGCCAAAAAAGAAGTCCACTCATTCTACTGGTTACATACTGAAATACTTAAAAATTACGACTGGGGAAAATTTTCTAAACAATTGAGTAAGCACAATCATAGTGTGTATACAGATAAATTGCATTGGCTAATTGTCTGGACAGTGAAAAACAGAAACAATTTCTATTGAGATAGAAATTAATATCTGGAAGTTAGAATAAATACGTGTATGCAATCATTACATTAGTGATACAATTAGCTCATTAATTTCATGAAGTCTCCATCAATCTCTGCCTGCCTCAACAGAAACTATTATAAGCAAGATGGCTTTATTAAAGTACTTAGGAGAAGCATGTATGAAAAGGAAATATCAATGAGGCACTTAGATAGTTAAAGGGTGATTTAAAATTATAATAGCTGTTAAAAAATCAGGGGCACCTGGGTGGCTCAATCGGTTAAGCCTCCGTCTTCGGCTCCGGTCATGACCCTAGTGTCCTGGGATGGAGTCCCACATTGGGTTCCCTACTCAGGAGGGAGCCTGCTTCTCCTTCTGTCTGCCACTCCCCCTGCTTGTGCTTGCTCTCTCTCTCTGGCAAATCAATAAATAAAATCTTAAAAAAAAAAAAATCAGTCTACTGATTTCATAGTGATGAATAAAGAGGTGATTTAATTAATGTCCTCAAATGGCTTTTATTGGAATACATTTAACAACAGAGAAATGCCAACTGTAATATCATTTATTTAAATCATTTAAATAATGCAAAATTTTGGACAATGTGATATTTCAGTTAATAAAATGATATCGTTATACAGACACACACACATATACACATACCCATATATATCTTAATGTGTGTGTATATATATTTCAAACATGGTAATTAAACAAAATGGGCTTAATGACACAATTGTCTTGATCGTCCTGAAATTTCTTTCGATGACCTGTGAGATACTTCAAAATCTTTCAGAACTCTGGATCATCTTAATGACCATTATTTTTGAAATGTTCCAAGAAGAAGAATGAATAGGAGATTGAATTAGCTTTTAAAAAAAAAAATTCTTAAGATTTTTATTTGACAAACAGAGAGATAGCACACCAGCAGGGGAAGCAGCAGGGAGAGGGAGAAAGAGAAGCAGTCTTCCCTACTGAGCTGGAAACCCAATGCGGGACCCCATCCCAGGACCTGGGCATCATAACCGGAGCTGAAGGCAGCTGCTTAACTGACAGAGGCACCCAGGCTTTCTGAATAAGCTTTCTATGTTTTGCATGGCTATACGTTTGGAAATAACAAATATATTTACTGATATACACAGCACATTAGTAGATGCCATAAAACTTCAAAAATAACTAATATCCTTGATACATCATTAAGCTGTTTCCATTTGGCTTTGATATTGTGTAAAGGCTAATGTGATTAAGTTTAATTAAAGCAAAACATAACATCATCCAAGTAATTATTCACACAAGGTCCTTAAAGATAGGAATAATGTCTTTTTCTCCTTTGTTTCTTCTACCCATCACAGATGATGGCACTGAGGACGTTTACAAACTATTAATGGATGGAAAGAAGGAGGGAAGGAAGGAGAAGGGTTGGAAAAGGGAAGAGAGAGATGGAGGAAGGGAAAGAAGGCAGGGAAGGGGGGAAGGCAAAAGGAAAGGGAAAATAGGACAATATAGGTAGCAATTTCACAGTAATATATACTTTTTAATACCAGAGAATCTTCCCTGATCAGAAAAACAATACTCAACAGACATGCTATCCTAGCCAGACTTCGCTACTCACTAGTCATTAGTCCTTGGCTAAGGCACTCTATGCATCTTTTCTTCATCTAACATGGGGATACCGTCTACCCTCACATCACACTCATAAGAAGCAGATGGGATAACACTGAGTGCTTTGTGAATTTTTAAACAATGAAAGTGTTAGATATCATTTTGAGGTAATTATTAAAACACATCAACAGAGATATTTTGCTGCTAAAATATTATTAAATTTCAGGTTGCAATAAAGTATATATAGTATTTAGATCATAAAATCCAATAGTTTTAAGGTTATCTGAGCTGACCAGAGTACATCTGGAACACACTTTTTCAAGGGACTCTGAAGAACACTATTATATCCAGGATGAAGAAAAGTTAGAGAAATTATATTACTGTGGAAGAATTAAAAATACTAAGCTTGCTTAGCTTAGAGAAAAGTAAAGTAAGGTGAATTGTGGAAATAATATTAAAATGTTGATTATGGATGAAGAAAAGAAATAATGCTGTTGCAGAAGCAGAAGGAAAATCAATTAGTGAAAAATCCACAGATGTAAATTTTAATCACATAATAACTTTCCAATAAGAGTTATCCGTGGTAGGCAGAATAACAGCCTCCAAAGATGTCCTAATCCCCAGAACCTGTAACAATGTTACCTTACATGTTAAATGGGACTTTGCACATATGATTAAGATTAAAGACCTTGAGATTGGAAGATTATCCTGGATAATCCAGATAGGTCCAAACCAATTACACAAATCCTCAAGAGCAGAGAACTTTCCCAGTTGTGAAGGGAGGAAATGTGACTAGTAAAAATGGCCAGAGATACAAAGTTGCTGGTTTTGATGAGGAAGGAAAGCAGCCATGCACCTAGGAGTGTGGGCAGCCTCTAGAAGCTGGAAAAGGCAAAGAAATGGACTTTCTCCTCAAGCCTCCAAAAGAGAACACAGCCCTGTTTACAAGAATTTTCACTCAGTGAGATACATATCGGACTTCTAATTTACAGAACCATCACATCATATTATTACTTAAATCACTAATTATGGCAATTTGTTATGGCAGCAGTCAGAAATTTATACACTGACCAACAAGGAAAAGGCCATCTTGAAGTTAAGCAATCTGTCTTCAGAGAGAGTCATCAAAAAGCTCTTAGAGGTGATGTGTGAAAAGTAATCCTATGATGAATGGATATGGGAATCTACAATGTTAATCCTAGGACTTCTTTGAATTCCCTGACTCTACAACTGAAATAAGTAAAGGTCATTAAACTGAAGGCAATGGAATGAACAGGGATAGAATACTACACCCAGAGAACCTTGGTTTCTTTCAGATTCCTAAGTCATTTGGTCTTCAGGTGGTTCAGGCATTAACTGATCCCAAGACTCAAGAAGTCACTTCCAGCTGTGGGTCTATCCACTGTGAAAGGGATTTACAATTACATAAGTTACTGCTAGGTCCTTCTATGGTTTTAATGGTGTGTTTTTCTGGAAAATTTTGGGGACAGGTATTCTTAGGGATATTAACCTGAAGCAAATTTCTAGTGTGTCCAAATTCTATTCCTGTCCCCAGCAATAGATCCAAATTTAGTGGGAAACTCTAAAACCTACTTTTTGAAGTGCTTCTCAATATTAGGTAGAGTGAAAACTGTAAAGTAAGTCTGGAAACCAGATTTATAAATGGTGAATAATGACACAGAAGAAGGCAGGGAAAGGAAACATTTACATAGTCTGCTAATCTCTTATATACATACTTGTAAGTTAGTTATTTTAGCTACCTCCTGCTAGAGGAACCAAACTATAGCAAAATTTGTAATAAACATAACCATCAAATTCTGTTTATTGATCCATGGGGAGAACCAAGTTTTTTACCCACGATATACATGAGACTCATCCAAGGAGCTTTTTAAGACTCAGACTCTAGACTCAGACTCTAGACTCTATGTTGAGGGTGGTACCAAAATTTCTATATTTTTAGAAAGCTTCACGGTCAAAGGTCATGCACAGCCTGAATTTCACACCACAGGAATGGAGTACTATGCATACTTACCCTCTATCCACCAAGAGTGTATCTTCTAATCCCTTTTTTATCAGCAATATAAGTGAGAAGACCTATGAACCTGTCCATTTGATCCAACACCATACAGACTTTTTCATTAATGATTCTTGTGGTTATGAATCTCATATAAGCAACAATTCAGGGCACCTAAGTCACTTGGATTCCAATCCAGATACCCCAACTTTCAACCTTATGTGTTGATCTGGTTTGTACTATGGGATTCAGTTTCCTTTACATTCTTTAAGATTTCAGAAGTTAAACTGTCTTTCCTTTAGTTGCTTGACTTGTCTCTAAAGGCTCATTTGTCCGGAGGAAAAAATGAAGTAGAAATAAAGGAATATTCTCACCAAAAAGACAATGTTGGTATTTTGATAGAGAGCTCGTGCCACACAGATTCTTTGCCTCTGACCCCCACTCAGGTTGATGCCCTAGAGAAGAAGTAACCATAAGCATCCACCCTTTCCAGTAGTAACTGATCTACTGTTTACAAATTTTCTTTAAAATACAAACTTCCTTTTAAAAAATCTTAAATTAATGGTAATTTATTAATTAAATTGTGATAACAGTGGTGAGGTAAAATGAAAATTGTCAATTTTCTGTTCAATACTTTATAATTAATACTTTTTAAAGTACTGGTCAATACTTAATAATTATGTTAAGATGATTTTTGACTGGTACCATAGATCCTTTTCTCACTCTGATAGATAGCTCTGCTGTACAAAAGCATCAATAACCAAACACGTGGTGAGTTGACTGCTAAACACAGCAAGTAACTCCAAAATTTTTACTAGTTTTGTGAATTGTGTCTGTAGTTTACTTCATACATACTTCTTAAATTTGATACTATCAATTAAGTTCAACAGAATTATAATTCTGTTGCAATGCATTTTATAATCAAGTTCTAATTATAAAAAATTTTAAACTATGCTGAGCACTTAATATGTGCTAGGCTTGTGTGAATGCATTTACATTCCTTATTTTTTTTATTCCTTATAGCAATTCCAATATATGAGTAGCATTCCCTTTACACACTAGGAAACTAAGGAGTCCATAGTCTTAGATACCATACTGTGCTGAAGTCAAGAAAAGGCATTAAGAGCACTGGGTGTTATATGCAAACAATGAATCATGGAACACTACATCAAAAACTAATGATATAATGTATAGTGACTAAGATAATTAAACACACACACACACACCAACTACAGAGTTCCACAAATCTCAGCTATACCACTAACTAGGCAAGCTCTTCAACCTTTCACCACTTAGCTTCCTTAGTTGCAATATGCAGTAATTAGAACACCCATATAACAAATTTGCTGTAAACATAGATAATGTATAAAATTTATGCCCAGTAGTTCAAACCTATGAGGGTCAAAAAATTTTAGCCAAAATTGTCATAAAGATTGTATAGAGGCATAAATATTTTTTAGCTGCCCAGAATAGTACGATGTCATCATAAAACATGTTTATACAAAGGAAAAAAAGGCCACTTTAACAAGATTAAATAGATGTTAACAAGAGTGGAAGAAGTTGGAAGCAGCCTCAATTTCAACTCAAAGTAAGTAAAAATGCATTTGATCAAAGACAGGAACTGCATATTTCTTAAGAACTCTCTAGTAGCTAGCACAATGTTACTTAGATGGTGGTTACCCAACAAATACTTAAGAGTGGCTTTAAAACTCCTGTGCTCCTGTTTCTGGAACTTGTCACTTGGACAAGGCACAGCTCCTATGTTCTCAGATTTCATTATGCTCCATTAAAAGTGAAAGACAACCAGAAGACTTTTCTAGATTTTTGTTTATTGTTTAATTAAACTATGCATAGCTCACCCTCTCTCCAATTTCAGTTTGGTCTCCAAAAGGTAGTAAGTCAATATCTGGCTGAAGAGAACAGGCATCTGTAACAGCTTTGTACCTTTGGGAGAAATTATTTTGATTTTTTAGGTCATTATCAATATACTGCTCTTAAAGTATTCAATATCTTGGAATTCAATATCTTGGAAGCCAAAATAAAACATTTGTTGAGCAATTTAGTACAGATTAGCCTCAATGGTAGCTTTATGGATACAAAGATAGTTAGATATTGGATCTCACTCTGAGAAAACTACTAAATGGAGTAGAAGACTAATAAACATATAATAAAATGGATCTCCTTAGGCACTACAGCAGAGGTAGGTGTATAATGCTCCTGGAATACATAGAAATGGCTGACCACTTTGAGAACTTAGTGACAGCTTTGGAAAGGAGGCAACACGTAAGCTGTATCCAGATAGATGAGTTGTAATTGGCCAGGAAGAAAATGAGGAAAAGGAAACTTCACGAACTGCATGAAGGTGAAAAGGTCATAGTGCCTTTTAGGGACAGCAGGAGACTCACTAGAGCTGAAACAGGTTGTGGGTGGGTGTCTGTGCATATGGTCTGCCTGGAGAAAGGAGGAGAAATGGAAAGGGTTGAGGACTGACGATCCACAAATAGATCTAAGGCTGGGACTAGAAATGATAAATTGGAAGTTTAGGGAAGCATGGAGATAGGGAATGCTGGGGAAAATATCCACAGTTTCACTTTCTCAATCATCTAGTCTTAAAATATTAAAAAGTCATTCTTGAGAAATCCTTCTTCTCCTTGCTCTTATTTTTCCATTCTTATTCTAGAATGGTTTTCTGTCAACTGTCTCTTCTTTTCAATTTCTGCAGTCACCCCCGAGTGCAGGCAATGAATGCTGCATGGACGATTATTCCAATAAACGTCTAAATGTCTCCTTGCTACGAATTCAGATTCATCCTGTATGTATCTACCATTACACTTCCAGATTAAACATCACATTTACTTTGTTATTCCCCTTTCTAAAACTTACTGTACCTCCCAGAATGCACTGAATTATATCCAGTTGGCTTTTAAGGCACTCCACTACATCCTTTCAGCTTTTGTTTATAATCTAGTTTACCACTGTCAATACACATAAGTCCTTTTCTGACTTTTGTTCCCCAGGCCCCAAGAGATCCTATGTAACTTAGGTTCGTCCTCCCACACTATCTGCTTTCCTCTTCCCTCCTCTCCTTATGCCTTTCCAGTGACCTAATTTTTTTTTTGTAAACCCATTGATTTTTTTGTCAAATAAGTTTTTGTTACTCTAGCAGAGCCTCCATTACTAAATAAGTTGATCTCCCCTGACATAATGCTTAACTTTCAAGGTTCGAGGTGATGGCTTCAGGAAAGGGTTATGCCTTTGTGCACTTTGGTGGTATTTAAAGACGGTTGAGAGATGGCATATTCTGGCCACTCTCCGTAACTATACCTCTCAGATCCCACATTCTTCCTCTTCTTCACACTAGTACCTTTCCTTCTGCTCCTTGGATTTTTCCTTCTACTCACCGGTAACCTCAGTAACTCCCCTGCCCCATACCCCCAATTCCATTTCAGCTATTTAGTTTTGGTGTACAAGTTGTTCTCAATAAATGTATAGGATGAGCTGAGACTTCCAGTAAGACTTCTCTTTAAAAAGTTGACTCAGAAGACCTTACAGTGGGGGTGGAAGCAGGCAACCAGGGAAAAAAGGAAGTCATGGCTATAAAAGTTGCAGAAACCATGAACCAAACATAAGGATTAGAAATAGTTGCTCATTTTCATTCTAAATTTTATACATTCAAAATTACCTCTGTTTGTTGAAAGGACTTCCAAAGGTGATATTTTCTTCTACTGTAGCATTTAATAGCCAAGGCTTTTGAGCCGCATACGCCACAGAATACCTGTTCCTACTGGAAAATGAAAAAGAAAAACAAAACCCCCAAATTATACAAGGGTGTTGTGCTGTGTGTATTTTAGTAAAACTAAGGAAAATGAAAGTTGTTAAAATATCTCAGACACAGAAATGGAAAACTTTCAAGAAAGAATATTTTAATAACCACCAACCTTATTATTTAATGGTTAAGTATTTCACCTAAATTAAAAGGACTTGAATTTAATCAAAATGTCTCCCAATGTGCAAAATTTGATTTTGCTATGCTAAAGAAGTGTTTAAATAAATTGAAAATTTACTTTCTAAAATGAGTGTAATTTTTAAGATAATTAAAAGATCAATAGCAACACGCTCTCTGATAGCCATAGATATTTTACTTTACTAAAAGCACTTTACGTAACTATTAATTTTATATGCAGACCTTAGAAAAAGACATGAATTGGTACTGTGTCTGTGGCTTAATCATGTTAACATATTTTAAGGTAATAGATAATATTTAATTATTTCAAAACAAAGAATAATATATTGAGCATATACTTCAAGATTGAAATAACTACACATTTAAAAACTACATATTTCAAAACATATTGAAATAGTTTATTTTTTAAAAATTGTAACCTCTTCCTCCTCCCCCATTTTTTTTTTTTTTTTGCTTGCAAATTCTACCAGATGTCTACACATCAGACTTTAATTTGCAATAACCAGGAAAATACATGTGAGTTGAAGATAAAGAAGACAATGGGATTGGGGTAGGAAAGGGATCAGCTTAAAAGTCAAAATTCACAGTTAGTTCATGGTCTGTAAGTAGTAATCAAGGAATCAAGGTTAAAAGATAGTAAGGTTAAGAAAAGGAAAAATTAGAAATGCTCAGTAATCATCCTAAAACATTATGTCTTAGGAGTTTAAAAGACATGATGATATACAGTATGCTAGTAGTCTCTTAGATAACCATATGTGTAGTAAAACAGTGGTTCCCAACTTCTGACATGTCTGCTTCCCTTCCCTGCTCCCAGTCTTCCCATCTCTAGCTTAGGGACAGATCCCATCATTGTTTAACTCATAAACAATATATATATTCTTGCTTTTTTATTTCATGAAGTCCCAAAACCAATTTGCTAAGAACAGTTTGAGTCTCAGCCAAAGTTGAGACATCTGTGATTCACGGAGAAGAAAATCATTGACACAATGGGCGATTTTGTTTGACAAGTTAGATTTTTTTTAGCAGCCTATAAATGTTGGGAACCACTGCTACTGGAAATATGTTGGCACATTTTAATAAAAACTTCATACACTATAAGAATGAATAAAATGACCAGGAGTAAGAGATTATGAGTAAAGTCTGAGAAAGAAAGTTATTTTTTATTAAACGCAGATTAAAATAGAAATAATACCTTCTGGTTGCTTCAAAAGAAGGTTCAGATTCATTTACACTGCAAGTATGGCAAACAATGTTCATTAATTATGAAATATAAATATAGAGTGAATCTGTGCATATATCGGGTAAGAAATAAAATAAATACAAATCATATTAAATAACTATATTTCTTTCCCAAATGGGTTTTGACATTATTTTAAAGACAAACCAGATGAAATGATAATTTTCTTTATGTCTTCATCAGCGAGGAAATAATTAGTAGGCTTCCAAAAGATAGACAGCACTGTCCTATTACATACAAAATCCGGGTTCATACAATGATCTGTTTTCTACCTCAACTCTGTTCCAACTAGCTATATAAATATTTGTAATCTTCCTAGAATAGTTTCCTAGTCTATTTAAGGATTTGGTATCTCCAAAGCCTCCCTAACTTTAAATATCAAATTTATTATTATTATTATATTAAAGATTTTATCTATTTACTTGAGAAAGAGCACAAGCAGGAGAAGGGGCAGAGGAAGAGGGAGAAGCAGGCTCCCCACTGACCAGGGATCCCCATGCAGGGCTCGATCTAGGGAACTTGGGATCATGACGTGAGCTGAAGGCAGCTGCTTAACTGACTGAGCCACCCAGGTGCCCCTAAAATTCAAATTTAATCTATTTAAATTCCTAATTAACTACCCTACAACATGAAAGGAAGAACATTTAGGGGGATCTAAACTTAAAATGTTTAGACACAGCCTGGCCCTTAAGGAACTGGTGAGAAAAACAGAAGTGTATAATGGGTCAAACTGCAACATTTGGGTATAATTATTGTTTGATATGATTCATGTACAAAGAGATGTTTGTCTAAGAACGTTTAGTTATAAAAAAATAAAAAAATAAAAACATTTAGTTATGTCTATGTTATGGGGGAAAAACACCTGAGGACCTGTTCATTTTATTGTTCTGATTTTTTAAATATTTTTAAATATTTATAATAATATTTAATTTTTTTCTTTATTTAAATTTTTTTATATTTTTTATAAACATATATTTTTATCACCAGGGGTACAGGTCTGTGAATCGCCAGGTTTACACACTTCACAGCATTCACCATAGCACATACCCTCCCCAATGTCCATAACCCCACCCCCTTCTCCCAACCCCCCTCCCCCCAGCAACCCTCAGTTTGTTTTGTGAGATTAAGAGTCACTTATGGTTTGTCTCCCTCCCGATCCCATCTTGTTTCATTTATTCTTCTGCTACCCCCTTAACCCCCCATGTTGCATCTCCACTTCCTCATATCAGGGAGATCATATGATAGTTGTCTTTCTCCGATTGACTTATTTCGCTAAGCATGATACCCTCTAGTTCCATCCACGTCGTCGCAAATGGCAAGATTTCATTTCTTTTGATGGCTGCATAGTATTCCATTGTGTATATATACCACCTCTTCTTTATCCGTTCATCTGTTGATGGACATCTAGGTTCTTTCCATAGTTTGGCTATTGTAGACATTGCTGCTATAAACATCCGGGTGCACATGCCCCTTCGGATCACTACGTTTGTATCTTTAGGGTAAATACCCAGTAGTGCAATTGCTGGGTCATAGGGTAGTTCTATTTTCAACATTTTGAGGAACCTCCATGCTGTTTTCCAGAGTGGTTGCACCAGCTTGCATACCCACCAACAGTGTAGGAGGGTTCCCCTTTCTCCGCATCCTCGCCAGCATCTGTCATTTCCTGACTTGTTCATTTTAGCCATTCTGACTGGTGTGAGGTAATATCTCATTGTGGTTTTGATTTGTATTTCCCTGATGCCAAGTGATGTGGAGCACTTTTTTGTGTGTCTGTTGGCCATCTAGATGTCTTCTTTGCAGGATGTGGAGCACTTTTTTGTGTGTCTGTTGGCCATCTAGATGTCTTCTTTGCAGAAATGTCTGTTCATGTCCTCTGCCCATTTCTTGACTGGATTATTTGTTCTTGGGGTGTTGAGTTTGCTAAGTTCTTTATAAATTTTGGGTACTAGCCCTTTATCTGACATGTCGTTTGCAAATATCTTCTCCCTTTCTGTCAGTTGTCTTTTGGTTTTGTTAACTGTTTCCTTTGCTGTGCAAAAGCTTTTGATCTTGATAAAATCCCAATAGTTCATTTTTGCCCTTGCTTCCCTTGCCTCTGGCGATGTTCCTAGGAAGATGTTGCTGTGGCTGAGGTCGAAGAGGTTGCTGCCTGTGTTCTCCTCAAGGAGTTTGATGGATTCCTTTCTCACATTGAGGTCCTTCATCCATTTTGAGTCTATTTTCATGTGTGGTGTAGGAAATGGTCCAATTTCATTTTTCTGCATGTGGCTGTCCAATTTTCCCAACACCATTTATTGAAGAGGCTGTCTTTTTTCCATTGGACATTCTTTCCTGCTTTGTCGAGAATTAGTTGGCCATAGAGTTGACATTATTTTAATGTCTATTTCTGGGCTCTCTATTCTGTTCCATTGATCTATGTGTCTGTTTTTGTGCCAGTACCATGCTGTCTTGATGATGACAGCTTTGTAATAGAGCTTGAAGTCCGGAATTGTGATGCCACCAACTTTGGCTTTCTTTTTCAATATTCCTTTGGCTATTCGAGGTCTTTTCTGGTTCATATAAATTTTAGGATTATTTGGTCCATTTCTTTGAAAAAAATGGATGGTATTTTGATAGGAATTGCATTAAATGTGTAGATTGCTTTAGGTAGCATAGACCTTTTCACAATATTTATTCTTCCAATCCAGGAGCATGGAACATTTTTCCATTTCTTTGTGTCTTTCTCAATTTCTTTCATGAGTACTTTATGGTTTTCTGAGTATAGATTCTTAGCCTCTTTGGTTAGGTTTATTCCTAGGTATCTTATGGTTTTGGGTGCAAAATTAAGGATTGACTCCTTAATTTCTCTTTCTTCTGTCTTGTTGTTGGTTTAGAGAAATGCAGCTGATTTCTATGCATTGATTTTATATCCTGATACTTTACTGAATTCCTGTACAAGTTCTAGCAGTTTTGGGGTGGAGTCTTTTGGGTTTTCCACATAAAGTATCATATCATCTGCGAAGAGTGATAGTTTGACTTCTTTGCCAATTTGGATGTCTTTAATTTCCTTTTGTTGTCTGATTGCTGAGGCTAGGACTTCTAGTACTCTGTTGAATAGCAGTGGTGATAACGACATCCTTGCCGTGTTCCTGACCTTAGTGGAAAAACTCTCAGTTTTTCTCCATTGAGAATGATATTTGCAGTGGGTTTTTCATAGATGGCTTTGATAATATTGAGGTATGTGCCCTCTATCCCTACACTCTAAAGCGTTTTGATCAGGAAGGGATGCTGTACTTTGTCAAATGCTTTTTCAGCATCTATTGAGAGTATCATATGGTTCTTGTTCTTTCTTTTATTAATGTGTTGTATCACATTGATTGATTTGTGGATGTTGAACCAACCTTGCAGCCCTGGAATAAATCCCACTTGGTCGTGGTGAATAATCCTTTTAATGTACTGTTGAATCCTATTGGCTAGTATTTTGGTGAGAATTTTCACATCTGTGTTCATCAAGGATATTGGTCTGTAGTCTCTTTTTTGATGGGATCCTTGTCTGGTTTTGGGATCAAGGTGATGCTGGTCTCATAAAATGAGTTTGGAAGTTTTCCTTCCATTTCTATTTTTTGGAACAGTTTCGGGAGAATAGGAATTAGTTCTTCTTTAAATGTTTGGTAGAATGCCCCAGGGAAGCCGTCTGGCCCTGGGCTTTTGTTTGTTTGGAGATTTTTGATGACTGTTTCAATCTCCTTACTGGTTATGGGTCTGTTCAGGCTTTCTATTTCTTCCTGGTTCAGTTGTGGTAGTTTATATGTCTCTAGGAATGCATCGATTTCTTCCAGATTGTCAAATTTGTTGGCGTAGAGTTGCTCATAGTATGTTCTTATAATTGTCTGTATTTCTTTGGTGTTAGTTGTGATCTCTCCTCTTTCATTCATTATTTTACTGATTTGGGTCCTTTCTCTTTTCTTTTTGATAAGTCTGGCCAGGGGTTTATCAATCTTATTAATTCTTTCAAAGAACCAGCTCCTAGTTTCGTTAATTTGTTCTATTGTTTTTTTGGTTTCTATTTCATTGATTTCTGCTCTGATCTTTATGATTTCTCTTCTCCTTCTGGGTTTATGGTTTCTTTCTTGTTCTTTCTCCAGCTCCTTTAGGTGTAGGGTTAGGCTGTGTACCTGAGACCTTTCTTGTTTCTTGAGAAAGGCTTGTACCGCTATATATTTTCCTCTCAGGACTGCCTTTGTTGTGTCCCACAGATTTTGAACCATTGTCTTTTCATTATCATTTGTTTCCATGACTTTTTTCAATTCTTCTTTAATTTCCTGGTTGACCCATTCATTCTTTAGAAGGATGCTGTTTAGTCGCCATGTATTTGGGTTCTTTCCAAATTTCCTCTTGTGATTTGAGTTCTAGCTTCACAGCATTGTGGTCTGAAAATATGCAGGGAATGATCCCAATCTTTTGATACCGGTTCAGACCTGATTTAGGACCGAGGATGTGATCTATTCTGGAGAATGTTCCATGTGCACTGGAGAAGAATGTGTATTCTGTTGCTTTGGGATGAAGTGCTCTGAATATATCTGTGATGTCCATCTGGTCCAGTGTGTCATTTAAGGCCTTTATTTCCTTGTTGATCTTTTGCTTGGATGATCTGTCCATTTCAGTGAGGGGAGTGTTAAAGTCCCCTACTATTATTGTATTATTGTCTAGTGTTTCTTTGATTTTGTTATTAATTGGTTTATATAGTTGGCTGCTCCCACGTTAGGGGCATAGATATTTACAATTGTTAGATCTTCTTGTTGGACAGATCCTTTGAGTATGATATAGTGTCCTTCCTCATCTCTTATTATAGTCTTTGGCTTAAAATCTAATTGATCGGATATAAAGATTGCCACTCCTGCTTTCTTCTGATGTCCATTAGAATGGTAAATTGTTTTCCACCCCCTCACTTTAAATCTGGAGATGTCTTCGGGTTTAAAATGAGTTTCTTGTAGGCAACATATAGATGGGTTTTG